GTAGAAAGTGTGAGAGTGGAAGAGGAAAAGAGGGAGGGAGGGCGAGACGAAAAAGTCCTTATTGACCTGCCTTAAATGGTTTTTATTTTTTCAGCACCTGTCACATTGTATTGTGTTCACATTATACAGCATGTTTTCTAGTGGGTGATACTGATGAGGAATGACTTGGCATAGACAGAGTGTGTGTGTGTCTGTGTGTGTGTGTGTGTGTGTGTGTAAACCTTTAAGAGAAAACCTGGCTGAATTCCGTGTCTGTCCTTTGAATTAACTAGATGAGATCCAGTGAGATTCAAACTATTTCAGTTCAACAGCAAGCAGCAGAGGTCACAGCAATGATGCATCGTCCTCGTAAAATTCACTGATCTGTAACCTTCGCTGCTTAAAGGAGTCAGCATGGCAGCCTTTATGCAAATCACATGTGGACATATGGATGTTTGAAAGGGGAAATCTATTGCCATAAAGGGCACTTTTAAAATAATGCTCATATTTCACTTCAATCTAATGAGACTGTATTTTATAAGCTCTGACTCAAGTTCAAGAAAAAATAAATAAAGGTTTCTATACGCTTCCCAATTAATGTGACAAAAAGAGGATTGGCATTAAAATGCAGTGCCTGAGGAATTTAATAAAAATTTATTTTCATAAAGTTGCGATTTTATAAAATTTTTCATATTTAAAAAAAAAATTGGCAACCTTAAAGGGATAGTTAGCCCAAAAATAAAAATTCTGTCATTATTTACTTACCCTCGTGTCGTTCCAAACATGTATGACTTTCTTTCTTCTGTGAAACACAAAATAAGATCTTCTGAAGAATAAAAGTAAGTGGGGTCCAGACTCAAATATTACAATTCTAAAAGATAAAAGATTAAAAAATTTAGATTTAGAAAAGATCTAAAGATTTTTTCTTTCTTTTCTTTGATGTTGAAATGTTAAGCAACTTGTTGGCATCTGCCTAGCTTCTTCAAAGTGACAGATCCAAACACCATTTGACTGGACATATAGCCTTTAATTATTTGCATTTGCCATTGTATATTAGTCATTACCCACCAATTGAGAACCACTGGACTAGTCTAGTTTGTCAAAGAACTAGTCAAACTTACTAATCAATAGCTGGTTGGTGAATCCCAACAGTACCAAAAAACATAACTGTATCTGTGTAACATAAATGTATCTCCTAGGATGCTTATAGGGTGAATACAACTTGATTTATACACAAATAAACTACCTTAAACTTAAGTCAGTGTGTCTAACCTCTTGAGGTGGTCACATGTGAGAAGAGAGAGATAAGAAAAAGAACTGTCCCACCGCTACGCCCTTCCAAACCCACCGTTACAACACTCTAGGGACATGGCAGCATTTATCAGGCAGCCCAAAGATCTGAGGAATTGGCACATCTCCCCCCATTCCTGGGTAAACGGCCTCACTTAAAATCATTTAACACTCTAGTGAGCATGATACATGAAGTACGCCCAACTGTCATCCTGTAGAAAGTGTGAGAGTGGAAGAGGAAAAGAGGGAGGGAGGGCGAGACGAAAAAGTCCTTATTGACCTGCCTTAAATGGTTTTTATTTTTTCAGCACCTGTCACATTGTATTGTGTTCACATTATACAGCATGTTTTCTAGTGGGTGATACTGATGAGGAATGACTTGGCATAGACAGAGTGTGTGTGTGTCTGTGTGTGTGTGTGTGTGTGTGTGTAAACCTTTAAGAGAAAACCTGGCTGAATTCCGTGTCTGTCCTTTGAATTAACTAGATGAGATCCAGTGAGATTCAAACTATTTCAGTTCAACAGCAAGCAGCAGAGGTCACAGCAATGATGCATCGTCCTCGTAAAATTCACTGATCTGTAACCTTCGCTGCTTAAAGGAGTCAGCATGGCAGCCTTTATGCAAATCACATGTGGACATATGGATGTTTGAAAGGGGAAATCTATTGCCATAAAGGGCACTTTTAAAATAATGCTCATATTTCACTTCAATCTAATGAGACTGTATTTTATAAGCTCTGACTCAAGTTCAAGAAAAAATAAATAAAGGTTTCTATACGCTTCCCAATTAATGTGACAAAAAGAGGATTGGCATTAAAATGCAGTGCCTGAGGAATTTAATAAAAATTTATTTTCATAAAGTTGCGATTTTATAAAATTTTTCATATTTAAAAAAAAAATTGGCAACCTTAAAGGGATAGTTAGCCCAAAAATAAAAATTCTGTCATTATTTACTTACCCTCGTGTCGTTCCAAACATGTATGACTTTCTTTCTTCTGTGAAACACAAAATAAGATCTTCTGAAGAATAAAAGTAAGTGGGGTCCAGTGATGTTTTGACAAAATCTTTAGTGTTCCACAGAAAAAAAAGAATTTGATTCAGGCTTGGAATTACATAAGAGTATGGGGGTAGCATGCGTCAAAAAAGTCTAAAATAAAAAAGGGATGAACATAGCTATTTTTAAAATGACAAACAGGCCAAAACGTTGTTTTTCACACATCAAATGAAGCAAAAAATCCAGAAATGATTTTTCATTTTGCCAGCCAGCTGAATAAAAGATGTTAAAGAAAGACTACAGTGGATACAAGCAATTTAGCTACAAGATAATCAGAATGCCTGTGGAATCGGACATCTGAACATGTCTGAAACTAAATTTACTTTGCAGATTTCATTTTAGGTAAACTAAAATCTCAGTAGATAATGAAAGAGATAAAGTCATTGTTAGAAAAAGCCTTTCTTCAACTGAAATAAAGAAAAAAATTGCACTCCGTGTATGTTTCAATGTATGATGCAGTGCGTTGCATTAACACAATGGATGATCAATATATACTGATGCAGCCTTCAATCAAAAGAGAATTAAAGAAAACTTTTGCACGGCACTTAATGTCAAAATGGCTGACCCACAAACTGGAGATAGACAAACTTTTGCTACATAATGCATGCAGTGCTTTCAAAATTGAAAGGGTCTTGTTGTCTTTGTCTCCTAATGGTACTTAAACAGGTACCTTGAATGTACAGCACCATCTACTCCAACATACAGAAATGCACTCATTTAGCAAACAGCTTGTACTTAGAAAGGAGCAAAACACTGGCCTATAGCTCATTTAGTTCAGTTACACTGAGCTGAGTGTGGAAATTTCCTGTTACTGCTTGGATAATGAAAACACAGGGTGCCTAATGTCACAATTAAGCGTGTATGTGCAGATGGTGTGCGTTCCTCAATGCTCAGCTCTGACAGCGCAAATAACTAGCTACACATTTTACATTTTTGATGAGACCTTCTCAACACACTTTGACAGCACTGCTTGAGCAAACAAAACAGACGTGCAAACAGTGTCTTTCCATGATTGTTAGCATAGGTTTTTTAGGGTATCTCTGAAGGCCCGACTTAACAAGTGTTGAGTAAGAAGAGATTTGTTTGATATGAGACAGGCTTCAAAGACTATAATGAGTTCAAGTATTACAGAAAACATCAAAAGTGTGCACAATGGCATGAATTTTTTTTAAGTAACTGTTCTAAGTAATTTCAATATATTTTTTTAAATAAACTAGTATTAAGTAAATAATATAAATAGCATATACACACCTCAGTGTCGTTATTGTTAACTTAAACTATTAAAAATAATTTTCAATAAAGCTGAAATAATATAAAATATAAATATTACATGAATAAATGAATAAAAAACATGAATAAATCTCAGTCTACCTTAGATATACTGACAAAATTAATAGCAAAATAGATTTCTGTGATACATTTACTGTATGTTCAGTTATATGGAAATAAAAACTTAACTACCTGTTAAGTAACTATACTTAACTATACTGTCTTAACTATTTTTGGACTATTAAACTATACTCAACATCATTTACTTATTTTCACATTATCTCATCTTGAGGGCTTTTTCAGCAAATATTGATTTATGATGTTAATTGTGATTAATTTAATTGATTAATCAGCATATCCTGCAATTAATTTGATTAAAATTTGTAATCGATTGGCAGCGCTAGCTAAAACCATTCAGTCTGCAGTTATCTGTGATTGTAAAGCTGAGTGAATAAAATCCAACTCCAACTGTCACACAGATACTAAAGACTGCAGTAAACAACAACAACAACAAAAAAACTGTGGTTTTATGTCTCTGTTCAGTGGTTTTAAACCTTGAAGATAAAAAGTCATAGTGTCCAGATGAACATCAATCTGTTACACATTTAACCTGCATTTAGTGATGTGATGCCTCTAAGAAAAGGAAGGTAACCTTAGCCCAGAGTTCAGTCGATGCTCCATCCATTACAGACTCTTTGACCTGGGTTGTTACTCCACAGATAGATCTCTCAGCGCTCGCCAATGACAGGTCACATCATTACTCTGCAAACTTTGAAGATGGATGGCTGCAAACTTTTGATCGCTCTCATTAACCCAACAGGCCTAGGCAGACAACAATGTGGCAAGCAGGCTAATGATTTCTCTTGGCCTTGAACATCTCCGCCGCCCCTCCAGGGTCACTCCACAGATAGAACAACAGACTGATGAAAGAGGGGGAGGCGGAAGAGCAGCAAAGCCTCCAGCTGTTTTTATAAATGCTTCGATTGCTTTGTCCAAATCAGAGTTCAATCTTAACCACCTCCCCCCAACCCCCACAGGTCGAATTTCTTGGAATATTTTGCCAGATGTAGGAGGAGATATCAACGGATATTAACTGTATTATTGAAAAAAGCCTATAAAGCTATATATATATATATATATATATATATATATAGCTGTCCATGTTGGACCAGCATCAAACCAGCTACCAGCTGAAGATGGTAAAGCTGGTTTTCAAACTTGATGGTTGTCAGTAAGCAAATAGCCAGCTTGAACCAACTAATGCCTATAGCTTAGATTTACTAATAACAATCTTAGACCAGCTAGAAACCAAATATCACGTTCGACAAACACAGATTGTGGGATCATATGGACTGTTAAAAGCTCTAGTGTGAAAATGTCCTACACAAAAACACATATACACACTAACCTGGTTGATGATATAGATCCCATAGTCAATCTTCTGTCTGCGCAGGACTGGGTGCAGGTAGTGAAGCCAATATTTCAGGTGGTTGTCTCTGTGCCTGAATGGGATGATGATGGCCACCTTTTGTTTCGGCCGGCAGTCCGGAGGAGTGTATTTCCCCCCTTCGGTCACATTAGGGTTCTCTCTCTGCACCCGCTCGAGGGTTATCTGGGAGCTGAATTCGATGAGGAGACGTCCCACTGCAGAGAAGAAAAGAGGCTCAGTGAGACTTTATAAGAACTTCACAGCAGAGTGAATTTGGGAATGATTATTACAGTTAGATTATTACAATTACAATACAATCATCACTAGCTATCTGTACAGCAAAGGGAGCGCAAAATGTTTTCTTTGACTCCCTCTGAGTCAAATAAAGCAGTTGAGAAGTTGAGACAACCAATCAATAAAGCAGAATAAGGCTTGATTACATGTTCACACAAAGATATTGCAGGAATCTTAACAGTAAAAGATTTCGCTACTACACCTAGCCACAATCTAAACCCTATTTGCTGGTGAACTGACATAGTTTTGGGCGCAGGGAATTCTACAACACTCATTAGCAAAGGAGTCTATGCTGCTACTGAATATGTATAGAGAGCCATTTTTAGGTAACAGCATTATGTTTTCTCATCTGATCATAAAGATTCATTCTGTCTATAAACATCTAACGCATAGCAAATCAGCTATTTTAATCAAATCAAATATGGTAATGAAGAAAAATATGAAATAAACAAGTCTAGATTAGACACAAGTGTGCTACCTTTTAAGGACGATTGCGTTTCTTTTATCAAGCAAGTTTTTTTCCACGATCTGTAAATCAGCAAAAGCAATGGTTCCTAAACTGGGGTCCATAAAGGATTTCAAGTGGTCTGCAAGTTGATTGGCTATTAACTTGGGGTGAAAAATAAAGCTAAATTAACCAAATAATTAAACTTGGCAAGAAGCACTGAATTAATTTTAACACTGAACTGAATCAAATTAAATAAACTCATAACACTGACCTAACAAACTGGGTTAAAATTAATTTGTAATAAAGTGTTTCTGGTGTGTCACTGAAGTTGTATGATTCTTGTGAAATACAGTGAAACTTGGTCGTTTTGGTTCATTTATGTTCATAATCGAAAAGTAGAAGTAGCAATCTAGCAAAATTCTGGAATGGTAAATGTGAGGCTGTTTCCTTGTGGTGCACAAAAAGTCAGTACCATATTGGCTAAATGACAAAACTGATTTAATAATAATAATAATAATAAAAAGTCTCAGTCAATACTGGATATGTAGGCCCATAATAGATTTTTATTTGTGCCTCCTATGTTTTCATAGATTACCTTAACTACCATCTAACACTCATTTGAAGTTAATCTGTAAAATACTAATAATTTAAGAACAGTTAAATGTAACCTCTGCAAATCTCAAAATGGATTTTCAATTTTTAAACAGTACATTGTGCTACCTATTCTCCTGAAGCATTTCAAGACTTTTTTTTACAATTTATTTAGAGAAAATAGAACCATATATTGTTTATCAGTCATGAAAATACATGAGACATGAAAATAATTATCACCTTCTCTGTATCTGCAATATTTTAGATATTAGAGTGTCTCTCCTGTTTCAAAATAAAAATAAATTTGCACAGAGAAGTGGTCCATCACCCTACAACATTTGAGAACCACGGCTCTAAAGTGTACTACCGTTCAAAAGTTTGGGGTCAGTAAGATTTTTTTTTTTTTAAAGAAATTAATACTTTTATTCAGAAGTTATGCATTAAATTGCATAATTTGTTTTGTGCTGTTTTTTCAGCACAAAATACATTTCATGTAAATTGTAATAGTATATTACAATATTCTTTTTTTTTTTTACTGTATTTTGATCAAATAAATACCTTGGTGAGCGTAAGAGGCTTCTTTCTCTCTTTTTTCATAAGAGTCCAAACTTTTGAACGGTAGTATATAATAGTATGCATTTCATATACAAGTGTATACAGTGTTATTAACTATAACTACGCCATGGACAGCAGTTATAAAAGATCTAACATCATGCACCTCTGTGAAATCTGACCCTTCGACACCTGGAAGTGATGGAGCTTACAGCAATTGAGCTGACCTCGGCAGCAGCAGCAGCAGCTACTCAGTTACCGTCACATAATTTAGATGTGAAGTACAGCAGCTTTGTGTAAACATCTCATGGCCTGCTCCTCTATTTTGGGTGGCAGAGGACAGGTCTGGTTAAAAATACATTTATAGTTGATTGTATGCAAGGCCTACTGCTGCACCTGCGCTCGTTTCCCTATCAGCCACATCATTAAACTAAGCAGCAGCAGGTCAGCAGGGTACAGCACGGCTGTTTGCGGTTGTAACTGAGACATTGTTCCTGTCCAGAGATAAAGGTACTTGTCCTTAGAGAACCTTCTGTATGCAAGATCAGTGTGTTTATTTCTAGCATTCAGTCAATCAGATACGTTGACCGTGACAATTTCATAGTCAGATGTATATAATGACATTACCCTTCTGTGGTGTTCTGCTATCTTCATCCTGAGCTCACTTAGATTGTTTCCATAAATAAGTTGTAATTGGCTACTCCTCATGGCCACAGAGAGATAGAACGGAAGAAAAAAGCGTTGTTGTGTCCACTTTTTATGAGATGCAGCCACCAACCTAATTACAAGCTCCTTCTTTCAATAAATCCAGTGTGTGGCATCACTGTGTGCTGTTCCCCTCTATCTCTGCAAAGGTCCCTTTGAAGTGATCTCTACAAAGGCTCATTGGATCCAGCTACTTCTAATTACCAATGTTATGAGTAAGGCAAGCAGTCAAGTGGCATGCGTGGAACGGAATGGCAAGAGAATGGTCTAGAGCAGCGGATCTCAAACTGGGGTGTGCAGACTGACCACCAAGGGTGCGCAAGAGAATGATTTTGATGATCTGTGTGCAAACATGCAGGCCCATCTCACTAAAAAGGGTAGTAAGTAATATTCTTTTTTATTTATAACTGAAATTTTGATGTTTTCTAATTACAGTCAGGGCTTGATATTAACACCTGCCAACCCACCAAATGCGGGTGGATTTCAGCAGTGGATACAACTGCACACAGAAGAAACATAATACGGTAAAAATTTAGTTTTATGTTTATAACATATAGCCTAATTAAACAACATGACACGACCAAGAGAGTGCAGTTTTCCCTGAAAACCAAGATTGCAAATTTGACATTGTTTTTATACAAGAGTTTAAATGAGTAGTTAATATTAAGTGACTTACATTTTAGTACAATATTGTCAATGTTGACTGTTTTTGCTCGATTTGGTTAACAAAAATAGTTCCAAACAAAGATCACAGCAGAACAGTCGTACATCTCTGAGCAACACACAGCGGTGTTTCCTTACTGAATGATTCTGCGTTTTTTAAAAGGGTCATATGATGTTGCTAAAAAGAACATTATTTTGTGTATTTGGTGTAATGAAATGTGTTTATGCGGTTTAAGGTTAAAAAAACACATTATTTTCCACATACTGTACATTATTGTTTCTCCTCTATGCCCCGCCTTTTTGAAACGCGTCGATTTTTACAAAGCTCGACGGTCTGAAAAGTGAGATGTGCTCTGATTGGCCAGCTATCCAGTGCGTTGTGATTGGCAATAAAGCCTTATCTTCGACACACAAATATAACGTGTACTTTATCTTTGATTACAAACAAACAAAGAAACAAAAATTAATAAACAAAGCCAACCACCTAATAAATAATATGTGTCAGTACTGGGTCAATAGTATGTAACAAGCATTACTTTTATTTGTATCAATACTACAGCGAGAATAAAAGTTATGCTTTCTTTCTTTGCGTGAACATTTGGGCTGTGTTATGCAAATCTTCCCACATCGTGACGTAGGTATGTGGGGGCGTGTTAGAACGAGCCGTTTTAGGTAGGCGTGGTTGACTCTTAACTTTTATAAAGAATATCTCTTTGGATTTGAGACTTTAGTCTTTGCAACTTTACAGATCTTCTTTATGCACCAAGAGCTTGTAACACTTCAAAGAGAAAGGAAAAATTGAAATCGCATCATATGACCCCTTTAATACTGATTTCATTTTATTGGTAACAGCCCTGTAGTGTTATTATATTATATTAAGTGAAATTATTAATAAAATGTAAGAATTTGATATGAAAGATGACACATGCATTTAATAAGGTTAGGGGAAATGCCCTTTAATCAGGCAAAAAATGACCTGGAAATCAATTTAAATACATTTTAGTATGCAGTAACTTTAGTCATATAAAATGTAATTTCCCAACAACAAAATTGTGGCTAGTGAAAATGCTGAGTGGCTAGTAATTTTGGAAAACCACTAGCCACAGTGGCTAGTGATCAAAAAAGTTAATTTCAAGCCCTGTATTCAGTGAATATTTGTATTATTGCAGTTAAAAATGTGGTGTTTAACTGGAGTAAGGTGGTGGGGGTGCTTGACACGTCAAACACTAGAAAGGGATGGACACTGCAAATAGTTTGGGAACCATGGTCTAGAGCGATTAATATCTTGCGATCCTAACACCTACAATAGCTGCTCTCGAACAGAGTGTTCCCTGCACTCTGGTCGCAAATGACTGTGGGCATTGATAAGATTGGAGGAGGTAAACAATTGCCTCCAGCTCTTCCACCGGCTCGTCATAACATCCTTATTGATAGTGCAGCATAGTCTCAGCGTCAGTCAACACACCCAAAGAATGTCTGATGAATACTACATAAAAGAGCTGAAATACACTATTTTCAATCTCACTGACGACTAGCTACTATGTTATTTCCGGGAGCCAGGGTAAACAGATTTTTACAAGGATCATAAGGTATGGCTTTATTATTAGTCTTTAAATATTTTTTTTTCATGTGAATGTGAAAGTATCTGAATTTACTTGGATTTAATATATTGAGAAATGCAATATATATGTTTAGATACTTTCAGATACATATATTCAAATATATATTCAGATACTTTCACATTCACAAGGAAACACTGTAATATTTCAGTCTGACACATGTAATATTGTAAATGATAATAGTGTATTATTTAAATATGATACATATGATATGCATCATATATAATGTTTCATATATTTATTAATTATAATGTAATAGTTTATTAAAAACTTAAAATATTTAAAACTGTAAATATAATTTAGCTATATTTGTTATATTTACTATTATTATTAGTTATATTTT